TTCATGCTCTCCGTGTGGTACGCCTGGTATGTCTTCCTGGCCTGCAGGGAGGCCCAAGGCCAGACAGCCCTGCTGAAGGCTATGGCCACGGCCAGCTCTTCCTCTTCTCCATCACACAGGCGGTCCCATGTGAACACTCAGCCCACCCACCCTGTGCCCAAAGCAGGAAGAAAGGGCTGTGCTCGTGGTCCTCGAAACCCAGGTTTCTCCTTGAGCCTGGCTTGGGGACGTGTGACCGGGGCGGGCCTTGCCCCATACTCACCGTCTGAAGCTCCGACACCACCTCCAAGAGCTCCTCCTGCAGCTGTTGCTCCAGATCCTTACTCTGGGAAGGAACAAGAGCGTGAGCACATCATCGGCCCAGCGCAGCATCCACTGCTGTCCTGGAGCGGCCACTGTGCCTCAGCTCGACACTCAAGGCTCAGGCTCCGTGCGGCTCCCCCGCTGCCTGACACCCATCTGGCCTTCTGTGTGCTCCCAGCCCTGATGCCTCTGGATTGAGCATCCACAGACACCCCCCCCGCCCCCCTGCTAGATCCTGAGGCCATCCATGCCTCCTGGGCCCAGGGCAATGGCCTTACCTTCTTGACAATGCGCCCCACATCTTCCGCGATGTGACTCAGGCGCTGGGCCAGTGGCCCGCCCAGTACCTCGCTGAGGGCAGCGCTGTCTCGGCTCTGCTGCCGTGTCTGCTGCAGCAACGCAGCCCAGCAGTGCAAGGGCGACAGGAGGGACGGCTCCTTCCTGGGGGCAGAGGGGCAATTAGACGAGGAGTGAGGCCTCGGGTCCTGCCGTGGCCATCCTGGCAACGAGGACTTACCGGAAGCTCTGGTGTTCCCGGCTGCTGCCCCCCAGGCGGCCTCCTCGGCCAGAGAAGCGCTCGGCCAGCTTGTCCAGGCCGCGGGAGTACTCCAGCTCCACCTCCGCACGGCGCCGCATGAACTCGGCCAGCTCCTGCAGCAGCTCCCGCCGCAACTCCCCCTGCAGCTCCAGGCAGCGCAGCTGCTCGCTCAGCTGCCAACGCATCTCTGTGGGGAAACCGTGGCTCAAGCCTGGGCACTAGGCCGTCCTGTCTGCAGTGAGAGCGAGGGCTGGGGCTGAGGAGGAAGGAGGAGGCTGGCCACCTGGCAGGAGTTCTGCATTCAGCCTCCCCGGCTGGGCTCAGGACACTCCTGAAGAAAGAGACCTCTGTGCTGAGGCTAAAGGCAGAGGTCCCCAACCTTTCTGGCACCAGGGACCGGTGCTCCTATGAGAAGCTAACACCGATGATCTGAGGCGGAGCTGAGGCGGTGATGCTGGCGCTGGGGAGCGGCTGCAGATACAGATGAAGCTTTGCTCGTTGCCCGCTGCTCACATCCTGCTGTGCGGCCCAGTTCCTAACAGGCTGCGGACCATGGACCGGTCTGCGGCCCGGGGATTGGGGACCCCTGGCTAAAGGGAACCAGCCAGGCCCAACTGGTTGAAGAGGAGCGAGAAGGGTGTTTCAGGTAGAGGGGAGAGCCATGCAAAGGCCCAGGGGTGAGAGGGAGCGTGGCAGATCCAGCAGGATCGGAGCCAGATGTTGACGGAGGGAACGCAGAGCTGCCCCAGCCCCGTCTCGCCCTGTCCCCAGCCAGGCGCCTTTCACTTGGGCTTCCCATCACTCCTAGATGCCTGGAAAGCCCCTGCATTGCTTCCCCTGCCACTTCCTGCCCCTCGGGTGTCCAGGACCCTGGGCAGAGCAGCCTCCCTGGAAACACAGACACACAGGGCTGTGCGGGGCCAAGGCTGCCGTGGCACTCTGCCAAATCTACAGTGAACTTGTGGCAAAGGGCAGCCCCATGGTGAAGGCTGGCAGCTGGGGAGAGCTGGTCAGGGCTGAGAAGTGAAGGAAGTTCCCACTCCCGATCACCCACCCCTAGGGCCCCCACACTGCTGGCTTTTGACACCTTATCACTGGCTTGGTTGGCCAACGCTGCTTCCCCCACACAGACCTAAAGCAAAGAACCGCCGGAATGACAAGCTTAAGCAACCCACTGCAAACACTTCTGCCACCCACTGGGTGCCCAGGTGGGCACCGTGGATCTTGGGTAAATAAGGCACTGTCTTGGGGCTTCTGGCGAGCAGGTCACGCACTTACTAATGTCTGCCCACATGCCTAGGGAGGGACATTAATTGATTTCTCCAGTCAGCAGAGTGTTGATTACGTACTCAGTCTGTGCCAGGCACATTCTAGACACACGGGGCCCTCACAGAGCTGAAATGGGAATGGGGGGACTGGGGAGTGGGGGTGGGGAAGGGGTCAAGAACAAGGGGTACTAGAGCAGAGAGTCGAAGGAAGCGACGGAGGGGCCATGGGGGCTTCCGGGGCTTGAGTGTTCAGGCAGAGGGAACAGCGAAAGCCGCTGGAGTCAGCTGTGCTGGGGGAAGTGGCAGAGTCTGAGAGGCCAGTGGGGGCAGAAGGTTGCAGGGAGCCCGGTCGCGGGGCCTCCCGGATGACACCGAGGGAGAAAGCAGCCACGGCCTCCTTGGGCTGCCATGGGGAGCCCAGGTGGAGGTCAGGTGACAGAGGGAAGCACCCAGACCAGTTGGCAGCTACGGTTCCAGTCCAGGCAAAAGACAGTAAGTGCTCGGAGCACAGAGTCAGCCTGGGAGGGTGCGTAAAGTGGCAGGACCCACGGTGGCTGTTTGAGAGGACTCTGCTGTGAACAGCCCAATACCAGTGTGGTTTGGATTTCTATGCAGCCAGTGACTTCCTAGGGGTTGTGCAGCCTGGGGCATCCCCCTCTCCACCTCTGAGTGCCCTTTGGGGAACACCCCTTCCTTAATCTCAGCCTCTGGGTCCCTCTCCCCGACCTCAGGTGCCCCAGATGTGGCTGCATGCATCCACTACCACCACCACCCACCCCCATCCACCACCGGGACCCGCTCAGTGATGGGTCCAGGGCCACGGTCCTCAGACTTTCACTGGAATTCCTGTGCAGGTGATCCTCCACCGAGGGCTCAGGCTGGGTAAATAGAAGCTGGCACCACAGCGGAGCCAAGCAAGACAGTGTCCTTATATCATCTGAGGCTGGGCTCCAGTGGCTGACCCTCGGCTTCTCGGGCCAGGCGGAGCAGGGTTCTATGCCACTTAAAATCAGGAGAGTCTTCACTGAATCAGGATAACATTTTTTTTTTTTGGATAAAAGTAAACTTCATTTCGTTCCAAGAATGTCCGAGACCTCCCAGCTCACCTCACCTTCCTCTGGCGTCTGCTCCGCCCTCCCAGAACAATAGTTCCCAGGGCACAACTGAATAGTGCTGAATGGACCAGCCCATCAAACCGTTTCATTTATCCTTCAGGGCAGTCATGCCTCAGTCTGGTTCCCAACATGTGCACTGACTGGTGTCAAGCAGGAGACTTGTGAATTAGCGCCATCTGAGCTGTGCCCCCGCTCGCCTCTCAGATCTCAGGTCAGATACACTCATTCTGACGTCCCCCCAAACCAGGACTGGCCCTCTTCACACCCGCTTTCTTGACATCATGTTTCCCCTTTATAGTGGTTAGCATCATAACTGAAATGGGGTGACAGCTTGTTTACGAGACATCTACCCCACCAGACCTGTGAGCCGTAGGGGGGCAGGGACTGGTTCTTTTGCTCAGCACTGCATTCCCAGGGCCTGGGACAGAATAGATGCATATACAAGATATCTGTCATAAGGAAGGAGGGAATCCACTATGCTCGGGCCCCACCAGCACTTCCTGTGAGCAAAGCTTAGGTCTCACTTCTGCTGACAAGCAAAGCAAAAGAGAAGATGGCCTCCCAGCTACCACTATGCTGACTTTTCAGAATTTAGGGTGTCAAGACAGTGATCCTGTTTTCTAGCATGGTAGGAAGTTTCTTTTGGCAACAGTGGGGGTGGGGTGGGGGTGGGGGCAGGGAACAGAAGCTGAAATCGTTGGCGGCCCAGAGCAGGTAAGGAACGTCTTAAAGACAGCCTCACTCAAATCCCCACATTTTCAGTGTATATTAACTGATCCATATTTGCTGACTGTAGTTTCTAAAGTCCTTCGGGTTCATGACATTTTGGGGAAACAGGATGGGGATCATTATCTCCGTCTGAGAAATGATGAAAGCGAGGCTTGGAGAGCTGGTTTGCCCTGCACTGTTGCCTCGAGCTGGCTCTGGGCAGCAGGCCGCCTCTCCCAGATGGGAAGGACTCAGGCATACTTTGGTGTAAATTGCCTGCATTTCTAATTACATTGGGACCTGCACCTCCGGGTTGAAAGGAACTTCAAGGGTCGTCTCATTCGATCTCCTAGCAGCCGTAGTGCTGTGTGAGCACAAGCGAGTCACTGCTCCGCTCTGACCCTCAGTTTCCTCCATGGGTAAAATGGAATGATTGAGAATGATATACGGGGGTCACACATCTGAAGACACTGGGGAATTTTATGGTCCCGAACTGCTGGCATTTGGATGCTGCCTTCTTTCCTTTGCAAGAGCTACCACGCCCTGAATGAGACCAAAGAAGCTGTCCACTAAGAATTTGCAAAGCTTATTTGCATGCGATTTGCACAGTGTTTATCACCGCCTGAAGGGGTTTAGCTTCAGAAGGCTTCCAGGCTGGCCCTGTTGAATCTCTCAGGCAAAGAAAGATTCACTGTGCCAGCTCGACCCAGAGACAGTGGTCCTTGGCTCTGAGCCACCTCAGTTAGGGCAAAGGGACTGGGCTACGGGGACCGAAGTGGTTCAAGGACAAAACCATCACTAATCCATCCACATAGGCACCCAGATTCCTTCACCTGCCCTCCCCCCTCCGCAAAGTCAAGGAGTATCATTTCATTCTGGCTAGAACGCCACTTTCTGGGGGGCACCTTGGTGCACCTGGAGGCCGCCTTTCCTCCTCCGGCTCTTTGGGTGAAATGCAGAGAGAACCAAGGACGACAGTGAGATCAAAGGCGGGGGGTGGGGGGCAGGGACAGTCGGCGGTTGAGACCAAAGGGGCTGGGAGAAGCGAGCGGGGGGCTTAGGCTCCCTCCCCCAAGGCCTCCTCCCGTCGCTGGCGGAGGGTAGCGGGTCCTAGGCCAGCAGCGGGATCTGGGGACTCCCCTACAGCCTTGGGGTCTCCGCAAGGAGCCAGGCCAGGAGCGCCCATCGCCCTCTCACCTTTAACTTGCGTCTCATACTCGG